CGCCAAAACAAACAAACGGATTCTGACAACAGAGAACACAGGTATCTCATATGGGAGATAGATTGAAGGTAGCATGTTTAGTAGTACAAATCGAATCTAGGTTTCCAACATGAATTGTATGCTTTGTTTTATTTACAAGTGACAAGGGTCGTCACCTTCCAAAATCAATGCCAGCACTCCCTGGATCAATAGCTAGCGCTTCACTCCACTTCTTCGGGAACGGCTTCCCAACCTGCGAGCTTCTTGGTCAGAAACCACCTGAGGACAGTTGAACTAGCTAGCAGCGGTAGTTGAATTGAATAGATTGTGAATATAACATACATGCTATAAAGCTTTTATCGGGCGTGCTTAAATGCAGCCTAGCAGCGCATTTCCGATGTTGCCATATTTAGTCCAGCCCACACTCCATCCACGACCAATGTCGTTCTCAGAAAGTTGATTGGGGTCGACTTGATCATTGAAAGTTAACGGGACAAAAAGAATCCACACAATCGGAAACTCAGAATGTTTAAGGCCAGCAGCACGAAATTTTTGGCCATATACATGATTCACGCTTTTCCCACGAGACGGCACAACGGGCGACACAAAGAAGCTCCATGTAGTGAGCCTAGCCACTGCAATCATTTATTCAAACACCAAACGTGGCAACTTTGCACTGTTCCAAAAACATTATAATGTTGCCAAGTCACAGAACCCCAATGGTGGCCAATTTTTTCACCATCTAGTGTGGACAGGGAGTCTGGCGGCTTCAAAGTGAAGGACCTCAATCTCAACAGCATCATATCCAAACCCCAAATTATAAACCAAATCTACAATCTACAACCAGCCAACGCAGCCAAAGTCGCTTTACCTCAAGTTCAGGTTGTACTTCCAGCCCAGAATTCAGCCTCGCCAATGCAACCACCAGCTCCTCAGGGATCTTCATCATCTCCGGGTCTTTCTTGCCAAGCCCGCTGACCTCGCGGACACCAGCCTCCTTAGAATGAAGATCGAAGATGCCAAGAAAATGTTCACTGTCAACTCAAATAATTTCATGGTGACACTGAACGGTTTCAATTTTGTCAGACTAGTGTCCCACAGGGTCCTTGTCCTGGGATCTAGTGGTACCAGCTTCTTCTTGTTGGATGGCTTGTCCGCAAGCTCATCAAAATCAATCTTGCGTGCAGTCTTTTCAGCTGCCTTGGTCGATGAAGCTCGAGATTCTCCATCCTTGGCCTTGGCAGCACGTGTTGCGCGCTTTGCTGCAGCAGAAGTGAGTTTGAAAGGGCTTCCTTGCTGGTGCTCTTTCGCCCTTCTTGGCCTTTTGCTTGCTGGAGCCGACTCGCCTGCATTGTCCTGAACCATTTCCTCAGCCTTTGATTTGGTCCTCTTCCGCTTGTCAGCTGGCTTTAATTCGTCCGCTTCTACTGGTAGTTCCTGGTCAGCACCCTTCTCGGCAGTCTTCCGTTTCTTCGAACCACTGCTTGTCTCCTCCGACTTGTTCTTCTTTGCTTTGTTCGAGCCAACTCCAGTCTCCTCAGACTTGTCCTCCTTTAGTTTCTTGCTGTCACGTCCTGTCTCCTCACACTTGTCATCCTTCTTTCTTTTCACAGAATCTTCCTTCACCTCCGTTTCCTCCTGCTCCGCGTTCTCATCAGCCCCATGAGTAGCGCCCGATGTCTTGTCCTTTGATTCTTTCTCTTTTTTGGGACGCCCCCCTTCCTCTACCTCGACCTCTGCCACGTCCTGTCTGCTTCTTCTCCTCAGAATCCTCTTCTGCCATCCTCAGCTGCTTGTCTGAGTCTTCACCATCTTCTTCCTCAGCCTCCTTGTTTGCTCTCCTCATCTTCTTTTGTGCCTGACAATGCAACAAATATCAACAAATCCACCACAGGACAATGACAAATGACAAATGACAAATACGGGTTCAACACAGGACAATGACAAACGCACACATGGTAACTTGCATGAATACAAGCCACCCGTCCTGCAATATGTTGTCGAAGTCTTTGGTAGCTGTGTTGGAACGTAGAAGCCCAGAGGTTATTTGATCAACTTCCTTTGACTTCTCCGCATCCATCACAGGCGGGTCCGCATTCAATGGTGCACGGTCCTGCATGACGGCGCATGACGGCTTGATACTCAAGGTAAAAGATTAATAAAACAAGTGGGATGCACGAGAAAGGATTGGTTTTTGATCAATGGTTGATTGACTGATTGAATCAATGTTATGTAGTCCTTAAATGTACCTTTGTTGCTTTCTTCATCCTTTTCATTGTCCGTGTTCAGCTCTTCCTCCTGTTTCTGGTGCACCTCAGCCTCAATGTTTGTGTCCTGCTTTTGCTGCTCTTGCTCGTCCTGGCCAACCTCACCCTTGGCCTTACTTTCTTCGTTGTTTGGAATCCTCTGCAGGTCCCCCGTCTTGGCCTTTCCTGCTTCCATGTTGTCCTTTTCCACGATTGCTTCTGGGCTTTTCTCTGGGGATTTGCATTGTTCATTGCTCACCTCTTGCTGAAGGACCTCCAGTTCAGCAACCTCCTCTGGCAACACCTCCACGTCCACGTCCGAGTCCTCAGTAATGATCTCTTCTTCCGGCCCCTCACGATTGAAATGGCTGTCGATGTCCTCAGGCATTTGGGAATCCTCCAGTGCCTCTTCAGCCTCTTCAGGCTTCTGAGATTCCTGAGCCAGTCTTGAAAGTACTTGCATGGCTTCCCTCTCCATTTGGACTGACAGGGCATATTGACCAAACCGTTCTCTCAAGTCCTCGGCAGGCTCCATCTCAACTTCCTGGAACTGCGAGTCCTCCACGTCCAACATCTCTGTCGGCTGTGTTTGTGTTGCCATTGGCTGCGTATCCATTTCATCTGGATGCGGCAGGGCCTCTCATGGTTCCATGAATCAATGAACCATGAACAATCTCAAGTTCACCCAAAACAAAACATAGAGTGAGGAGAACATGATTGCGCCTGAGAAGAAGAAGATCTGCCCCTAGTGGGTTTCTTTTTCCCACTCTCTGAAAGCATTCCTTCAGCCTGCCATTGCTAGACATATGGACTTTACTGAATAAAATATATTGTTTTGAGTTTCAATCGAGCGCTCAATCACATCATGAACAACATGGCAGCCTCTAGCTTCTTTCTGATGCAATCCTTCAGCAATTGGGCATTCTTGTGACCACTCCTGGGGTTCAAGTTGAGGAATCAGCAAACAGATATCCCAAACGTACGCTAGACCTCATGATCATTTAAGCCCTTGACCGCGCCGAAGGGTTCTTCTGGAAGCGGGTCATGATGTATGCACCAAATGCCCTTTGAACACCGCCCTCTGTATCGGCCCAGGCCTCAAATGGCAACCAAAAATTGCATATAATGGATCGATAGCAAAAAAACAAAAAATCAAAACATTTGCAAAACACAACTCAAGCTTTAGTATTAGTGATCAGGACTCAGTGGGGAAACCAAGTAACTCGATGCTCCGCTTTTGTGTTCAGCTGTGGGTTCAACCCGAATGTCATGCTGACCCAAGTCAAAACCTCCTGCAAGAGTTTCAAGAATGGTCAATGCACTATGCATGCAGGAAGTCACACAGCACATGTACACACAGGTGCGCAGTACGCACACTAGAAGAAATAGATATCCACCAAGTGTCTGTCATGTCGCGCTCAGATGGCAATTTGTGGGCATAGCTGGCCATGAAGTTCAACAGGAAAAAGAAGTTCTCGTCATGGTTGGCCTGAATCCAGACTTCTGAGGGTCCCAGGAGGTAGTTAATTTCTATTAAGGTTTTTAAGTTCTAGCTGCGCTTGGTTGGATATAGCTTCAAGCCTCATGCTCCTTGATGAGCTCTTCTTCAGAAAATCTCACACAGAAGGTGAATGGGACGACCTCAACTGATGAGACAACATCATCATGTTCTAGCTGAGTTACTGCAACTGGCACTCAGGCGAAACCGACCAGCCGAGCAACGTGCCGATCTTTGCTGCGAAGGCCGGCTTTGACTCGGAGAAATGCCCGTCGATTTGCCACCCAATCCTCCTCGTTGATCAAGTCCATGTAGAAGGTCTGCATTGGATCGATCGGTTGGGACATGTTGGGACCAGTTGATCACTATCTAGTCTTTTCACGCTGCCGTCAACCAAAACATTGATCGAAAAATGATTGGGTGCCTTCAGGTGGAGCAAGCGATCTTCATTGGTGGCCATTGCGCTGAACCGGTCCGGAATGGATCGGAGAAAAGCGTGCAGACGGTGTGGATGGGAACCGGGTGCATACGTGGTTCTTTGATGTGGTGCATTGATCCTATGATATCCCATGAGAATGCTAGCTAGCTTCTTCGGCCCCAAAAAACACACATATCAATGCAAAGATCAATGCATTGCACGGACAACCAGAGGATAAATCAATGCCCATCAGAGCAACCTGAGAGGCATGGCACCTGCATCGTTGATCTCCCTGGGTTCCAAGATGTGATGGTCTTCAGCCAATCCTGGGGCCGCAGGTCACAGAGTTTTGTCCCAAGACCACCAAGGACTGTCCAAAAATCATTAAAATAATCAATCCTCAGATGCTGACGGGCCCGCAAAGCCCTTCGCATATCAACATTAGATCTTGGTCCTCGGGCACGCTCTGGGATGGGAAGACCAGTTCTAAAGATCCACCCCCACTACAAATAGCACAAAATAGCACAAAACAAGTGTGGAAAATATTGTTGAAGCCAAGTCGAAAGGCAAAAAAGAATAGGCCATGGAATATGGACAAGGTTCGACAATCGAGGCTTGAGCCAAGATCGACCAAAGGTCCCAAAATGTCCCAAAGTCGGTTGTCTCATAAAAGCAGCGGTTGCCCAACAGCCATTAAAACAATGTCGGTTGACACCCAGGGTATATGCATTTGTGTGCCACTGAGAACCTTCAAGATCGTCGCTTCACCGATACTTCGATCACTTGCTGGTGCACTGGTTGAACCTCTCAAACAGCGTTGCCAATGTCAACTCCCAAATCAACCACCCGCTTTGTTGAGGAGATCCAGCGACGGGAAGCGCAGAGCAGCGCGACTTCGGGGCTCTCGCTGCTGCAGATGCTGCGGTTGCCGCAGGAGGCACCGGCGGAAGTGAAGCGGGCGCACCTGAGAGAGGCGGTGGTCGCCTTAAAGCAATTGGTCCAGGAGCGGAGTTGGTTATGGATTGATCAGGGATGAAACTGTGCATACTTATTGAGGCAGGGTGACGGATCAATTCCAACTGTCCATGCGTGGAAGCGAGACATGCATGTTGGAACCTATGAGCATTGTTTCTTTAAGCTACTGAATGCTGCCCAAGCAGAATCACGATGCATCATAGTGCATGTTGGTGGGGCCAGAGCATCATGAGGCACCCCCCAGAACATTTCATGAAATTGAACCTTCTCAGCAGCATCAGCAGCAGGGTTTGTCAGGAGTCGCGCCATTCTGGCACTGACAAAGACGCCCTCAGCAACCTTAATATGCTGAACTGATCTACCTGTGAGACGAAATATGCTGATACTGATGCAAGACTCCACTGATACTGAGCCGAAGTGGTGCTTCCATGATGCATGCTTTACCGCCTGAAGACTGATTGCCGGACCAGCATTGTACTGCAAAACAAGCCAGGTATACACAACACCTTCCCAACAAAACATCGAGAACGTACGCACATGTAGCTCTACTGAAGGCACATTTTGGTGCAGGAGCTCAGTTCGAACGAGGAGCCCGTCCATCACGGACCTCCATGTAGCGAGTTGAGGCGATCGTGGGGCATGGGACAGTGTGGGATGCAGAGGCATGAACCAGAAGTTCGTTGGTGGGAGATCAATAATAGGCTAGCATCAACAGGCTAGCATCGAAGACTGCTAATTCCGTGGGCCAGTTGGGGGCATTTGTCCTGCAAGGTCTGCGCTGGAACCACCTCACCCGCCTCCCGCCATGGTCAAGGCTCGCGATTGCGGCTGGGTGCATGTGAATGTGGACAGGAGGATGGGATTTCGCTTCAGATATGTTCCAAAACCATATAAAAGTCTAAGTAGGTCGTCAGACATAGCATCACTATGTATCTCAATTCTTCTGACATCATGCAGCTACTACTTTTTCCTATGAAACGCGTTGCGCGTTGCTAGTGCTACAAACTTCAACTTTTGAAGTGGCTTGGCCCTTTGCTGTTGACGGGGGGGCCTACTCTCACGGCTAACAAAGTATTTAGTGGCAAGTTGGCTTTCCCTTGCCTCATGGTCTTCCGCAAGCCTACTAAGACCTCCAACTTCTGCTCCGGTCGAGCAGCATCTCAAGACTGCCAAACTTTCCTGGCTTGGTCTTTGCATCCCACCAATTTGACCATTCGCTGGCTGGCATAGTCGCAAATGGATCCGCAGTGGTTGCATTTGCGGTGCATGAACACCTGCCAGGAATGCTTTATCCCACTTCGAAGCCTTTCTTTCCATGGTAGGGTTTGTAATGAAGCTTTGACATGGATTCTTACATTAGTTCTGCTATTCACCTGGCCCGGAGATTTGCCACCTGGGATCCAGTTCCATTCGACTCCAGAAATTAATCCCTTCGGACATGCTTGCATCGGTTCGACTTCGAATTGGTGGTGTTCTCCTTCCAAGAGGTTCAATTTCAATCCTTGTATAAGATACAATAAGTACACGATAACACACCCCTAAAACAAACCACATCGATTCCGACTGACAGGGGATGGGAGACGGCCATTTCGACCCTCCTTTTGCAGGTGGAGAGTGTGGAGACGACCATTTGCTCAATGCCTTCTATCCCCGAGGCGCCGGCCGAGTCGAGGTAGAAGCACTGCGGGCACTGCGAGAGTGGCGCCACATGGCCAGCAGATGGCCGACAGCCTTTGGTGTTCGAATTTGACATGTTGTGTTTGTCGAAAATACTTTAGCGATCTTTAGCGTAGTTTGGTGAAAACATTGTCATGACCCATGGGTTTATGTCAGTTCACACTGCCACGCCCGTCCCATTGAAGGTTCACACTGATAATGTGTATACTTATTTTATTTGATTTTTATATATTTTTATGTGTTGTTGTTGTTGTTGTTGTTGTTCACGAGAGGCATGTTTTCTCCTCACTTTGTGGACCAAAAGAAGACACAGAAGTGCTATTTTGTCTAGGAATTGACACACAAATAAATGAACATAAGTTTGAACTATTGCAGGCAACCTGAGCTACAATGCTGATTCGGTTTCTTGAACCTGCGCAGGAAGATTCCGCATGCTCATCCAGCCCCTGTAGTCCGGCCGCTGACCCCTCTTGGTAGGCCCTACGTAGGCCATGGTCTTGTTTGAATTGAAGCCTCCCGGCCCGCGGTGCTAACAGGAAAGTTTCACATGAAGAGCCAGGGAAAAAGTCAAACCAGCTCGTGAAGAAAAAGAAAAAACAACAAAACACTATGCCCCGAGGTTTTTGCAGCTGTGGATTTCCAACTCTGCATGTGGATTTCCGTTGGCAGATTTTTGCCGGCTTGGCATTTGTTGGACTCGCTGTCTCAAGAACAGCACACGTGTACATTAGATTTTTGGAAGGCCATGTGACGTGTTTTCGGCCCGTTCTTCATCGGACCCCTCAAGATCCATCAGGACCCCTTCGTTTTCCCCGCAGTGTTTGTTAAGCTTGCGAGGACGGGCGCCCCAGATCGCAGAGTTGGCCCAGTAATTCGACCAATTGGACGGTACGTGTGTGCATGTGTATGCACGACTAAAAGGTGATGGTTCTTTGCATGTTTTTTTTCATTTCTGTGACGCGTGGATGGACTGTGCATGGGTCGGAAGATGTTCGTCGCTGATGTGAATGGATCCAAGGTACTTGATGGAATTGATGCAACAAAGTCAACTAAAACGATGCCGATTGCTGTTGAATTGGATCAAAGAAGAGCAAATCCGGATGTAAATCTCACATATGATTTTGTAGTATTTTGTAGAACGAACCCCTGAACGCCAGGGTTGTGGGCTTGCCTGTTCGGTTGCATAGGGTAGTGATGTCACGTTGTTCTGCAGGCAGCCCCAGGCAGCTACAGTGCCTTTGAATTGCTGTACGTAAGGGGTCAAGCAACAGAATGGCAAGATCCAGGGGTCGAGTAGATGTTGCTCTCGAATTTATGTAGGACGCTGACACTTGCTTCGTTACAGAGCGTTTTGTTTTGATTTGTTTTGAGCAAATTGTGCCAAGGCCACCTGGTTTGGCAAGAGCAGGTGAGCAGTATTGACAGATTGTGTTACACCAGTGTGACAAACCAGCATAGCATCGTTTTGGGTTTTGCTTCCAACGGAAGACGAACCAAAAAGGTTTGGACGATGCAGACTTTCTCTTGCTTTAGTTAAAGAAGCCACTAGGGGCTCCTGGCATCGCTGCTAGGAACAAGAAGCTACAAACGGGGCTCCTGGCCGTACTAGGAGTGATCGGACGCTCTAAGGAGCCAAACCAATAGATGGTTCCATGTCACCGAATGTCACGGACTCCCCACCGTCCAGGAGAAACGACCCAGCGTCACGCCCAAGAAGGCCGGGAGTTTCGGTGGCACCGGGGGCTTCTGGGGTTCCAAACGAAAGTTCCGGGCGCTTGCAATGCCAAGCTAGGGGTTTTAGGGGGGGTGCAAGGTTTTGATACATACATCAGCGTGGTTATATCAAGAGACATCAAGAGACTATCGGACACCACAGACGACTGTTCCCTGCTCCGGGGTTTGTATATTCTCGCACGTTGAAGTGACCTCCCATGCGTCTATCCATATGTGGTTTCTTTCTTGTTTAACAAATGCATAGATCGGAATGAACAAGTCAACACAAGCCAACACTTGCATTATGCGTTGATGAACATTGTCGGGACCAGTCACGTCGAGTGCGATGTGGATCCCGATCCCTTCCGTGGGACCCGGACGAGGCCGCTCCACTCGAGAGGACCGAGACGGGACGGAGGGGGGGAGGGTCGTCGTAGTTACTCACCCCGCCGTGGTGAGCATGCGACGAGAGCACCATGAGACTCCACCCCAAACAACCGGCTTTTTTGATAGGCCCTTGGGGTTGTTGGAGGTGTCCAGGGAATGTTCTTTCGAAGGGATTGAAGGTGGAAAGCGATGGGGAGACCTCTTCCTGTTCAATCTCAATGCGGACGGTCCATCTAGATCCCGTCCTGGCCACAGGGCGGAGTCCAATTCAGCGGGGCTGCCACAGCCTGCCATAGCTACATAATGCTACATATGCATGCCTAGCTATGCAAATCAATGCAAAACCCAAAGTTCCAGTCACTCCATCATCATTGACCTTGAGTTGTCCCAAGGGTGATGTGCTTGTGTTCACCCTACGACATAACTGTTATTTGGGTAAGATGGGTGAATGTTTCTAGAAGCCGAGGCAACGTCCAACAATGTCTAACATGTCGCTACAATGAGCTAAACCTCCCCCCCGCAGACTGGAAGACTTGCTGTGGTTGAAACACCATGTTGCCTGCAGACTGCGCGCCCGGGTACCGATATTACAGAGGTGTTTGGGGTCGAAGCTGGGCTCGCCGCTTCTTGAAGCCTCCGCCACTTGAGCCTGTCGTTGCGCCCGCAGCGACGTGCCAAAAGCTGAAAGCGCAGGCCCAGCTTTGATGTTGAGAAATTCAAGGAGGCTCTTCGCAGTCCGGGGCGCCGAGCAAGAGAGGCATGGAATGGGTCGATGGATGTTGGGTCATGGCACAGACTGCAAAAAAAGATCAAACATGATGAATCAAACACGTGTGTTTGGGCCTCGTTCGTCGGGTTTGCCGAACTGCCAGAGGTTTCGTTTGGTTTTGTTTTGTCGTGTGTCCCTCCCTGTTTCTCAACATTTCGGAGCTTACAGGTCAGGCCAAAATCATACCCAAACTATAGCAAGAATATGCAATAATTATAGATTAATAAGTCTGATCACAACATACCCAGTAGTAAGGCCAGGGGCGCCCCTAGTAGCGATGCCAAGAGTGCCCCTATAAAGTAGCGATGGCCATGGACCATGTGTGTTTCGCTTGGACGTTTAAGAACCTACACCATCAAGGCCATCAACCAGTGGAGCCGGCCAAGTCCGAGATTCGGACCGTAGCGAATGGAAGGACTTCGGTGGATTTCGTACTTACACTCGCACCTCGCACCTCGGAGTGGACGGACCATGGCCTTGTGAAGACCCATGTTCCTCTAGAAAAAATAGGTGCTGGTCCATTTGCATGTGAGTTGATGTACACGTCGGTGCTAGAGGCACCAGAGGCCGTTCGAGACCTCCAACCGCTCCTACAGCCCACCAGGAAGTCCTTTGGATCAACAAGCGCAGTGTGTTGAGCAACGGGTGTCACGGATGTCCAAGTTCTGACATGTGACTTGTGACTGTATGTGACTTTGTTGTTTTGGGCGTCTTTGCTGCACAATGATTAGACGTCTCAAGCAAAACTGGATTAACAGAGGGGCAGACTTGATGCCAAGTTCAGACAAACCAATGTCAACAAGATTTGGGTTTCGTCCCTTTGATTTAGACCACTTAGAATACGCGGAGCATTTCCCATCCTCTCTTTTTGTGATGGCTTTTGGAGCACTTATATCTCAAGTTGGAGCGACTTCCCTAGCCTCCATTTTGCTTTGCAAGGTATGCATGGCTTGGCCTCACTCTAAGCAAATACAGTTCAAGGACAAAAGCCTCACAATTTCTGAGACCGAGAAAGCCGAGAAATGATCGCTTTTTGTAGGGTGTCCTACATGCCCAGGAGGCAGTGTTGTAAAGAGTTCTTCCTTCAGAAGAAGCAGGATCGACCTGTTCAACCCCTGCTGCTCACAGCATCCCTGAGCCAGCCATGGCTGAACAAGCACTGCCCCATGGTGCGAAGCCGCCGTGATGCTTCAGCCGTGCGCCGCTTCGTGGTGCAGCAGGCACCCGTGCGGGGCAAAGTGAAGTGGTTGGGCTTACTTGCCCCCCCCCGCACAACACAGTATATCCCCAAGAATTGGGTTCAGCAGCTGGTTGTCTAGCACAGAAGGCTCCTAGAATAAGGTTGAGGGAGTCCATCACGGTCCATTCCCATGTGAGAGACTTCGTGTCAAGAACTGTCGGATTGGTCGCCGAGTACCACTGGAGATGTGAGTGCCAGGTGAGCGCCAACAAGCAGCTTGGATTGGATGAGAACGTTCACCAGCAGTAGTGGCAAGAGGGAACGGCACTGATGAAACATGAGCATCCATCCACATAGAAAGGGCATCTTGATAAATTATTGGATGAACTTTTCTCACCTTTATGGCTTTTGTTGCTGGAGACATGGCAGCAATTTAGCTGCCACTAATTCGCCTGTCCGCCCGCAGAGTGAAACCCTTGGCTCAAATGGCGGCGGCCGCCGCCACGATGGACCTGCGAGATGATCAGCCAGCGATCAAGGTCATTCGTGTCATGAGGGCACCACACCAGTGATGTTCTTGGTGTTTTTTCTTCTCGTACTGCACGATGCTGTACACATGCGTATAATAACCATGAAGAGCCACATCATGCGAATGTGTGTTGGGTTCAGCCTTCCCGCATTGGAAGGGAGAGACACGTTAGTTTTCATGACTGGGACAGAAGAGGTGTAACAGCACCTGGCATCACCTGGCACTTAAAGTTACGACACCGAGACACTGACATTCTTCTACCGCCGTCCAACGGCGCCCGCCGGCCCGCCGTTCTGACACCGCCGATGCGAACTCCGCAGGCAGCGAGCCCCGGCCGTTGGCAACAAGTCCACCAAGGCAGGTTTGGCCGCCACGGCGGGATCCCGTAGATTTTTGGGGAAGCAGGAAGACTGATGAATATCAATGGGTCATGCCAGAAAGGTTCAAGCATGCCAGGCATTATATTTATATATATATATATCTCTACGTCTACATTTGCCACACGTACTGCATGCCCGCTTTCCAGAGAGATGCTGGCACTAAATGGCCCTAATTTAGTAAATTTTGCTCTTCCAGCACAGCTGCACCGTAGCGTCAGTTGGTGAGGATTTGGATTGGCAAGTCTCAGGCATGACCAGTTGAGTGGGCAGATGTTCATGTCATTCTTCTACCACACAATTCAGGTGAGCCAATAAGTCTCAGGTTATTTCCGAAAAGATCCGAAAAGAGTCTCCTACACCTCCAAGTCGAAACACATCACTTCATTACGGTGTCTCCTCACGCCGCTTAATTCGTCGTATTTTCTCGTGGTCCAAAGACACCGACATGTTCAGAAATATCATCAGTGCTGTGTGTTGGCGTTGTTTCCTCTTGGGCTATTGCTTTGGCTTTACCCATTGTTTGTTCTCCCGGTTCCTCAAGCAAATTCTGTGACCTGTGTTTTTTTCGTTGTACCTCCTTGCATGAGTTTAGGCACACCCATGGTCCTTCT